TATTTTTATCATAAAAGGGTGTTAGATTTTATTATGGTAAATATTTTTCTTAGTTAGGATGATGTGGTTTTTAATCCTTTTTTCTTATGTATTATATTAATTGATGTCTGGATGTTAAAACAACCTTTAATTCCTGGAATAAATTCTACTTCATCAATGGTGCATAATTCTATTTATTAATTGCTGAATTTGATTTGCTAGTATTTTGTTGAGGATTTTTAGATGTGTGTTTATAAAGGATATTCATCTGTAGATTTTTTGTAATGTTTTTATCTGATTTTGATATAAAGGTAATATTGGCCTCATAGAATAAGTTAGGAAGTTCCCTTTTCTTCCTTTTTTGCAGTGGTCTGTGAAAAGCTGGTGGTAGAATTAACCAATGAAGGCATATGTGCCTGGGCTTTTCCTGTGTGGGAAGTGTTGTAATTACTTATTTTATCTCTTTGTTATAGATCTATTCAGATTTCTGTTTCTCCTTGAGACAGTTTGGATAATTTGTATCTTTCTAGAAACTTGTCCATTTCATCTAAGTTATGTAATTTGCTGACAAATGGCTGCTGATGCTATCTACACTAATAAAAGAGAAAAATGCTCATTGATTGTACCTTTGCTACACCTACAGCCAGTCAGGAGTTATATGCAAATTAAACCAAGAAAGATGGAGGGTGAATTTGCATATGCAGGAGGGGCGGGCTGCGCCTGATGCTGCCAGCTGGTACCAGGCAGCCATCAGGGACCAGGCAGGCCAGGCAAGCAGCGCCTGATGCTGCCTGCTGGATCAAGACCATAATAGGTAACTGGGCAGTGGGTCGGAGGCAGTGCCGGATGCTGTGTCCAGGCCGCCATCAGGGATCAGGCAGGCCAGGCAGGCAGTGCCTGACATCATCTGCAGGGTTAAGCTGATAAGTAAGTGGGCGGAGGTAACGGGGAGAGCCTGATGCTGTCAGCGGGGTCCAGGCTGCCATTGGTAACCAGGCAGGCCTGGCTGGCAGTGCCTGACTCCCTGAACGGTGTCCAGGCTGCCATCGGAGACCAGGCAGGCTGAGCAGGCAGCACCTGACACTACCTGCGGTGTCCAGTCCACCATGGGGGACCCGACAAGCCAGGTGGGCAGAGCCTGATGTCGCCCGTTGGGTCGAGGCCTCGATAGGTAATGAGATAAAGAGGGGGGAGGCAGTGCCTGATGCCGTCCACGGTGTCCATGCAGCCATTGGGACCCTGGGTAGGCTGGGGTGGCCTGGGTCTCTGGGACCACTGTCTGACCCCAGGCCGCCTGTGGACACCAGTGGAGCAGGCTGGGGTTGAACATTTTAATGAAAATGGGATGCCTGTGCCCCCCGGTCTACCATGCCCAGTCCCTGGTGAGGAGAAGGCAGTTGGCAGATAGAAGGCACCAGGGCTTGGCAGGGAGTGGGAGCAACCTGCAGGCATGCTACCAAGAAGAGGTGCTAACCATGATGATGCAGAGCTGGCTGATAGAGGCACGCAACGGTGCAGATGAGGTGGCTCTCGCTGACGCTGAGCTTGGAAAGTGCACCAGCAGCCTGATGGACTAAATCGCCTTTCTGAAGAAGGTGCATGAAGAAGAGATCACTGAGCTGCAGATGCAGATCAGAATGCTCAGATCTCCATGCAGATGGACATGTTTTCCATGTCTGTCATGCTGAAGGACATCCGTGCCCAGTACGAGAAGCTAGCTGCCAAGAACATGCAAAATGCAGAAGAATGGTACAAGAGCTGCTTTACCGTGCTGACCACGGTGTCCTGCCAAGACACCTACAGGATGCACAACACCAAGGACGAAGTGTCTGAAAGCTGCTGCCTGCTCAAGGCCAAGACCCCGGAGATCAAAGCATTCCGGGGCATGAACTAAGCTCTGGGAAAGCAGCTGTGAGAGCTGGAGGATAAGCAAAACTCTGATGTTAGTGCTATGCAGGACACAATCAACAAATTAAAAAATGAGATGAGAACTACAGAGAGTGAAATGGCATGATATTTAAAAGAATACCAGGACCCCCATCAATATGGCTTTGAACATTGACATTGCAGTTTACAGGAAACTCTTGGAAGGTGAGGAGACCCAGCTCAGTTTCACCAGCGTGGGAAGCATAGTCAGTGGCTACTCCCAAAGTTCCCAGATCTTTGGTCGATCAGCCTAAGGTGGTTTACAGACCAGCTCCTACTTGATGTCCAATCGCTCCTTCCCTTCTTAATACACCAGCCACATCCAGAAGGAGCAGATTGAAGTTGAGGAGACAACTGAGGCTGCAAAATCTCAGGAAGCCAAGGATGAACACCCCTTTGAAGAGAAGATGAAGAGGAGGAGAAGGAGAAGGAAGTGGCTGATGAAGAGGAAAGAGAGGAAGAGGAAGAGCAAGAAGGTGCCAAGGCAGAATTTGGGGATGCAGAAGAGGAAGAAGAAGAAGGTGAAAGAGAAGATGCCCAAGAAGCTGAGGATGAGAATAAATATGAAGGTGCTGGGGAGGAGCAAGCAACCAAGAAAAGATTGAGTCCCCCTTTCCTTAATTATTTCAGGAATAATCCTCCTGAAACCAGGTCAACTCCATCACCAACCAAGCAGTTGAGTTCCCAATACTATATGAATTAAGAAGCCAATATATATAACATTCTGAGGTGACTCAGGTTGGACACTAAATATTATGCTATGACTTTTCTCCTTATGCAGAGTATCTGTTTGCTTACGGAGGGGCTTCTTGGCTTGCTGCCAGTCTGTGCATGGTCCATGCTTATGAGTTCAGAATCTATGACAATGTGAATAATTCAGATGTTTACAACAAAAACACATGAATACACTGATGTTAATATTAAACTTCATGGAAAAAATAGTCCTTTGAGTCTTTGGTGGTTAGAAATTAAAGACCTCAAATCATGTGTGATAAACAGTAAATAAAGTTACACTGAATGACAAACAAAATAAAACAAAACAAAACAAAAAAACAAAAAACATTAGGGGCCAGGAGACATTCAAAGAACTAGGGAATCATTCCCAAATCAGAAAGGGAAGTCACAGGCTATATATTTTTGCTATGAATACAGTATTTCCTACTACTTACAGCATATCCAATGTAATGCATTAGATGCTTTCCTATCACATGAAGTATGTATCCTCATAGAGTAATACTGGTACATATGTTATAGTTATGGCAGTATGTCATACCCTATATATATTAATAAAAGGATAATATGCTAATTAGACCATGAGACCTTCCAGACATCTTTCTAGACAAAGCCATGGTGGCAGGGCTGAGGCAGAGGCTGTTAGGGGTAATCAGGCCAGGAGGGGAAGCCAGTTGGGGGTGATCAGGGTGATAGGGGGTTAAGTTGTGGGCAATCAGCCAGCAATCAGAATGGTTAAAGGTGATCAAGCAGGCAGGCAGGCAAGTGGTTAGGAGCCTGCAGTCCCAGATTGCGAGAGAGTAGTCCAACTGCCAGTTTAGACCCAATCCCACAGGGGTCTCAGATTGGAGAGGATGCAGGCCAAGCATCATCTTATCCCCACCCCCACCCCCACTCCTGTGCACGAATTCTGTGCACCGGGTCACTAATATCCTTATAATCATTTTTATTTTTTTTAAGCTTGGAAGTGATGTGCCCTCTCTCTATCCTGATTTTAATACATTGAATTTCTCTTTAAAAATTTTTTGGTCTATCTAGCAAAAGATTTTTCAATTTTGTTGATATTTATTTTCAAAGAAACATTTTGGTTTCACTGATTTTCTCCATTTTTCTCGTCCTTATTTTACTTTTTTATGCTAGTTTATTATTTTCTTTCTTCTCCTTCCTTTTTGTTTAGTTTGCTCTTTTTTTTTTTCCTTGTCTTAAGGTGGAAGGTTTGGTTCTTAATTTGAGAGCTTTTTTTTTAAATACAAGCACTCATAAGTTTCTCTTTGAGCACTGTTTAGCTGCATCCAGTATGTTTTGGTATGTTGTATTTTCATTTTCATGCATCTTAGAGTATTTTCTAATAGTCCTTGTGATTTATTTCTTAATACACTAGTTATATAGAGGTGCGTCTTCAAATTTCCACATATTTATAAATTTCCTTCCCAAATTTTCTTCTGTTATTGGTTTCTAATTTGATGTCATTATAGTCAGATAACATACTTCCTCTGGTTTCAATTCTTTTAAATTGATTGAGGCTGTGTTACAGTTTATGATTGTAGCAAACTAAGCTATAGATCAATCAGAAGTTTAACAAATAACCAGAGAAAGAGATAGATAAAATCCTTTCGTATATTAGTATTTGTGTAGCTCTTATTACATATAAGTTAATTGTTTTCTAAAAGGGTTATACCAGTTACACTGCTGTTATCTACTCATGAGTCTACTAGCTTCATTGTAACCTCTTTATCATAGATGTTACATTTAATATCCTATATAATAAAGAGAGAATAAGCTAATTGACCCTCACACCATTGCAAAGATGGCAGCACCCACAGTCAATAAGGAGGTAATATGCTAATCGACTTCCATGCCCTCAAATATGGCGGTGCCCACAGTCACAAGATGGTGGCACCCAGTCCCCTCAGCCCCACTGAGGCAGCAGGCACCCAGTCCCTTCAGCCCCCCCAGGGATGGCCTGAGGCACAGACAAGCCTCAGATGGCAACTGCCCAGCTGACATCCGAGGTGCAGGCAAGACTCAGATGGTGGCTGCCCAGTCACCCAGGGCCGCCCAAGGCTCAGGTAACCAGGGCCAACTGAGGCTTGCATTGCCAGCAGTGGCAGCAGCAGAGGTGTGATGGGGCATTGCCTTCCCCTGATCACTGGGTTTCCTCCAGCCCCTGAGGGCTCCTGGACTGTGAGAGGGGGCAGGCCAGGCTGAGGGACCACCTTCCTCCAGTGCATGAATTTTCATGCACTTGGCCTCTAGTTGGTTTATAATTCTTCAGAGTATTTATTGTTCATGTGTTATAATACTTTATCAGAAGAACAGAGATAACTTTTGATTTATATTCTTTCCTTTTCTTTACTCCCAAGTCACCTGGAATCTCTGTGACTCCAAGTAGTGCCTCCTTTCTTAGTGCATATAATCAAAAGACATTTAAAGATAATCGTCAAGGTCAATGGCAACGTCGAAGACGGCTGGATGGAGCACTGAACAGAGTCCCAATTGGATTTTATCAAAAAGTATGGAAAATTTTACAGAAGGTGAGCATAACACTTTGCAGGTGTCTCTATTTTCCTCCTTGCATTCCTCATTCTCCTTGGCTGAGATATAACATAACTGTGACATCATAGCAGTTATATAGATGTGAAATGCTACATGACGAAACCTAGAAGAAAACCTAAAAATGAAAGAGTTGATTTTTTATTTTGACAGTATTGATAATTTAGTCTCTTTCTACTGTTATTGCTATGGTGTTGTTTATAAATTAATTTAAAAAAATCATCACTTCTCTGTTTTTGTCCACAATTGGACATTGTAGGACATTGTGATGCATTTGCTGCTAATCAGATGAATTTGTAACACTGTGTTGTTAATAACTAAATGTCACTATAGTAAAATAATTGCAGCATCTGAGTGGTTTGTATAAAAAATTCTTACCTGTAATTTTTTTTGGATGAAAACTACTAAATAAATGCAAAGTCATAATGATGTTAATAGTCCAAAGACTTTGTTGGCATGACCAATTTTGTTTTTCTTTTAAAGGCTTAGTTTGCCAAAGACATTTAAGGGGATGTACCATTATGTTTGTGACAGGTTTAGAGGGTCAGGAAGACCATTGTACTCATTCATAGGCCTCATTCATAGACTCTTAGGTGCCACTTTTTGCTTCATTGCCCTTGGCAAGAACCTTAAGAATACTTCCTCCAGGACTTCAGAACCTTTAGTTGTATTTCTCCCCTTAACACATTAATATTCTTCCAGTGACAAAATCATGCGATCATTTGATAAGGTAGAAGTTGAGTCCATAGACTATCAGCCCTGCAATCTTCCTCTCAATCTTTCTCTCTAACTTCTCGAGCACAGTGGTGACATATATGTACCTGGCTTATAAAAATTCAGTTTCACAGACATATATTAGGAACTGTTCTACACCAAATACCATAGAAGATATCTGTTCTTGTCACTACAGAGTTTAGTCCATAGTTATCTTAATTAGCAGCTATAATGCAAGGCCAAGATATGTATGATAAAAGTATAGAACCATGAGGCTGTGAGAATACAAGAGAAGAAAATTTGAAATCTGATGAGGGAGATTGGGTATTTTGTGGTGGAATCAACACTTGGACTTGAAATCCTGATCTAAGAGGAAAAACAAATGCCCTGTTTTTGTTTTGTTTTTTGTTTGTTTGTTTTGTTTTTAAATATATTTTATTAATTTTCCACAGAGAGGAAGGAAGAGGGATAGAGAGCTAGAAACATCGATGAGAGAGAAACATCTACCAGCTGTCTCCTGCACACCCCCTACCAGGGATGTGCCCACAACCAATGTACATGCCCTTGACTGGAATAGAACCTGGGACCTTTCAGTCCGCAGACTGACGCTCTATCCACTGAGCCAAACCGGTTTCAGCTGCCCTGTTTTTTTTCATTCAATTCTTTTCAGATTATGAATGTAACATACTCACAGTGCACACATGCCTGAAGGCTAGTACAAAGACTGTTGAATTTAATTTATGAAACATAGAATAGAAGTGTCTGGTAGAGTCACTAAAACAATTGGATTGAAATCTTTATCTATGGTGTAATATATAATGTTTTGATTGATTTAAAATCTAAAATGGCAAGTCATTAGTTCTTATTGGCTTTTAGTAATTGAGTTGATGTTTAGGAGGAAAATAAAATATCATTCATTCCTATATTATGTCTTTAGCACCTGCTGTGCACTAGGCAGTGCCCTAGGTGCTGGCAGTGATACAACAAAGAGCAAAACAGACAACAATCGCTGACCTTATAGAATTTACATTCTACTAAGAGAGATAAATAATAAATAAATAACAAGCATAGCAAATAAGTAATTACATATAATGTTAAAAGATGACAAGCCTGTGGACTGAAGGGTCCTGGGTTTGATTCCAGTCAAGGGCATGTACCTAGGTTGTAGGCTCAATCCCTGGCCCTGGTCAGGGCACATGCAGGAGGCAACCAATCAATGTGTCTCTCTCACATCAATATTTCTCTCTCTTTGTCTCTTCCCCTCCTTTCCACTCTCTCTAAAAATCAATGGGAAAATAATCTCAGGTGAGGATTTTTTTTAAAAATCACAAGTACTATAGATGTAGAGAGTATTGATGGGGATGTTTAAATAGAAAATGTATTAACTGCATATGTCCAATAAATTTATATCTTGAGTTTTTTCTTCAACCTAAATATCTTTCTGAAAGCCTATTTGTGATTGCTCTGGGATTGAGTATGGTATCCTTCCATTTAGTCTCTGAATCTTTGGGGCCAGTTGGTTGCCAAAGGTAGACCTTCCCTACCCCTTCCACTTCCCTAAGTAGAGTATGAGCCTTAGGTCTCTTATAGTTCAACCCTGCTTCTTGCCACATAGTAATCACAACTCTTTGTCAAGCTGCAGGGCCTTTCACTGGCTTGTGATTACTTAGCATCTCTCCTGTGAAGCACACTTAGAAATATTAAGTATCTCCTTATAGTCTCCCAGTTGCCAGCATAGCCTTATTGACAGCATGTTTTTGCTGTTTTGCAGTGTCATGGACTTTCAGTAGAAGGTTTTGTTCTACCTTCTTCAACCACTAGAGAGGTAAGATTCTGTCATTCACATTTATGTGATTTCTAGCTTGTCTGACTAAAGTATTTCAATGATCATTTTTCAGAATAACAGAACTGTGCTCTTATAAATCAACTGAACATGAAGTTTGAAGAAATGAGAGAATGTTTTTAACAATAGAACAAGAATATTAATGAATAATTAGGTATTATATTAGTTATATAAGGGCAGCTTTTTTAATGATTAAATTGGGCTTATTTATGTGAGTGTTACTAGAGTTGGAGGGCAGACAAGATAAACACCTAAGAATGAATGATTTCTCATGTCCCTATTTTTCTTAACCCCACCATTCTGTGGTAAAATGCTTGTAGACTATTAGATCATAAACCAGCATCCTTAGCTCCAACTATATGTCACAACAATCTGAGCTCTCATCTCCAATTTAGTGGATTATAGTTTCCAGGGATAGGGCTTGAGCACCTATACTTTTTTTGTTTTTGAGCATCTGCACTTTTAAAAAATCCTTAGAATGACTCTGATATATAACTGTGATTGGAAAACATTGCCATGAAACACAGAGATAGTTTATCAGGTACTTTCACATTTTACTTTTCGCCCAAACATATGGAAAATTTAAAGAAATGGTTTGTATTCAAAATCAATAAATAGGTTAGAATTAGGAATCTGGAAATAGTAAATTGGACAGTAGAAAATTCTCAAAAACACTAGAATTGTTACAGATATTTTCTGGAGAGTCAGGTATAGAAAGTTAATGCTCCACTTCAAGGCTTTACTCTTGCCTATAGGCCTTTCCTCTAATAAAGAACACTGTGTTCTCTTTGTCTTTACTCTGCCTTCCAGCAAGATTGAAATGTTAATAGAATCCTATATAATAAAACCCTAATATGCAAATCAACCAAACGGAGGAACAACTGGTGTAATGAATGGTTTCTATGACATGCACTGACCACCAGGGGGCAGACATTCAATGCAGGAGCTGTCCCTGGTGGTCAGTGCACTCCCACGGGGGCTTGGCTGGTGAGGAAGCCAGGAGCCCAATTCGAGAAGCCAGGCACATGGCTGAAGAGCACAGCAGTGGTGGTGGGAACCTCACCCACCTCCGCTGCAGGTGAGCAGTAAGGAGTGAGGGGCCCTGGCCTGTGAGATCTCTGGACACCAAGAGGGATGTCTAATTCAGCAGGTGGATATTCCCTGAGGGGCTCCAGACTGCAAAAGGGTGAAGGCCAGGCTGAAGGACCCCTGTTCTGGTGCACGAATTTCATGCCCAGGACCACTAGTTAATAATCCTACCTAATAAATAAAAGAGTAATATGCAAATTAACCATCACTCTGCTCTACAAGCCACGCCCACAAGCCACACCACCAGTCAGTCAAATAAACCCAACCAAGATGGCTACAGCCACAGAGAGCAGGAGGGAGGCATTTCCCTGGCAACAGAGGAAGCCAAACTTTCCGCCTGCCCTTGCCGGCCTACATCTCCACTCAATGCTACAAAGTTTCAATTATAGAAGGTAAACAAATCCAAATAGAAACGGCTGCAGCCATGGGGCGAGCAGGAGGCTTGGCTCTGCTCCAGGCTACAAAGTTTCAATTGTAGAAAGTAAATATATCCCAGATACCAGGGCCTCAATTTGGGTTGCTGGGGGACATGGCTGGCCTGCAAATCACCACAGGCCCCTCGCTCAGGCCACCCCACGCCCCAAGGGAACCCCCACCCTGATCTGGGACACCCTTCAGGGCAAACCAGCTGGCTCCCACACGTGCATCAGGCCTCTATCCTATCTAATAAAAGAATAATATGCAGAATGACCATCACTCCACCACACAATATGACTGCCCCTATGTGGTCAAAGATCTTGACCCTTTGTGGACACAAGATGGCCAGCAGGGGAGGGCAGTTGGGAGGGACCAGGCCTGCAAGGGAGGGCAGTTGTGGGTGATCAGGAAAGTAGGGGAGGGCAGTTGGGAGGTACCAGGCCTATAAGGGAGGGTAGTTGAGAGGGACCAGGTCTGCAAGGGAGGGCAGTTGAAGGCAATCAACCCTGCAGGGGAGAGCAGTTAGGGGTGACCAGGCCAGTAGAGGAGGGAAGTTGGGGGCAAACAGGCCTACAGGGGAGCAATTAAACATCAATCAGGCTGGCATGGAAGTGGTTAGGGGGTGATCAGGCTCACAGGCTGAAGCGGTTAGGGGCAATCAGGAAGGCAGGAAGGTGAGCAGTTGGGAGCCAGCAGTCCTGGATTGTGAGAGGGATTTCTGACTGCCCGTTTAGGCCCGATCTCCTCTGCCCCCGTGCACGAATTTCATGCACCAGGCCTCTAATCCTATATAATAAAGAAGTAATATGCAAATTGACCCTCACAGCCTCACAAGATGGCTGCCTATGACCAGGCCAGTAGGAGGGTTAGTGAGGGATGACCAAATGACTGAACAGCAGGCTGCATTGGGGGGTTGTGAGGGGCAACCAGGCTGATGGGGGGTTGCAGTTGGGGGTGACCAGCCTAGCAGGGGGGCATTTGGGGGCAATTAGGCTGGCAGGGGAGGCAGTGAGTGGTAACTGCACCTGCAGGGGGGCAGTTGGGGATAACCAGGCTGGCGGGGGGGCAGTTAGGTACGATCAGGCAGGCAGGCGAGCAATTAGGAGCCAGCAGTCCAGGATTGTGAGAGGGGTGTCCGACTGTCTGTTTGGAGATGATGCAGGCTGGGCTGAGGGACACCCCCCCATGCATGAATGTCATGCACTGGGCCTCTAGTAATAATACATAACTGAATGGTAACTTTAAGAGTTTTTCAAAGCATCTTCACACATTCTTTAATTTTATCTTCAACACAAGTATGTGAGATAGCTAAGAAAGAGATTATGGTAGAACTAGTAACTGACAAAGAGAGGACCTGAACCAAGGTTTTTAGATTCCAAATCCGCATTGCCACCTTAAACTGTATATTTAATATAATTTTGCCAAAAATTATTCTTCAATCCCTTCATGCTAAATAAACTTTATATTTCTTCATGCCCATTTTAACCTGATAGTATATTCATGATTGACATACCTCCAGTCATTGTATGTATGTGTGTATATATATATATAATTTTAAGTTCTATTTAGTTTTTTTTCATTTATCCTGTCATATTTACTTTTAAATGACTATAAAAACTCATGAAGTTGCTATACCATATGCTGTTATTTACACAATCATTCCCATGTTTAGCTTACTTCTGGTCTTATGCTTGTGACTAATGCTGCTATAAATACTCTTGTACATAGAGTTTGTTTTGTTTTTTCCCTTTTGAGTTATTTTGTTAGGATGAACTCCCAGAAATAGGATTGGGATTAGAGGGCAGCAATACTTTTATGACTCATTAGGCAATGCCCGACTGCCTTCCAAAAAGATTAAACCAATTTACTTACTTACTTTAAAGATACTGAAGCAGTGCTCTTGGCTACAGCGTTTTTACTGCCTTTCAGAATAGATGAACTGATGTCTCCTGATGATTAGTCCTTCAGAAGTGATTTTCTTTTTCTCTATTGCAGATGACTCCAGGGGAGATTAAATTCTCTGTTCATGTGGAGTCTGTCCTAAATCGTGTGCCTCAGCCAGAATACCGCCAGCTTTTGGTTGAAGCCATTCTTGTTCTCACCATGATGGTAGATATTGAAATTCATAGTATTGGAAACATTATTGCTGTGGAAAAAATAGTGCATATTGCCAACGACTTGTTCCTTCAAGAACAGGTAGGCAAACCTATTGTTTTCTCAAAAGAGAATATCTGGCACTAATCTGACTGCATTACGAACTCTTCCTGAAGCCACCGTCACTTTCCTGTGCCCTATACTTAATCGCTATTTTGTGGGTCCCTTTTGTGATGGCTCTGAACTGATTGCAAAAGAAGTAGTCTGCCAGATGACCTGCCTTTCACCATATGTTATATGCCTGTTAGATTGTAAAGTTGCCTGGAACTCAGGAGCTTTTATGCTTTTCATTGTATTTCAAAATTTTTATTATACTACTTTTTGTTGTGATAAGAATTTAATGAGAGACTATTGGGTGTCATACCCTCTCTTAAGTATTAAGGAAAAGAGAATATTGTATTTTAGTTTTGGTTTGGTTTTGCTTCTGATGCTTACCTATAGGAAAATATTAAAGTAAACCTTTTAATTCTACATTTTTTTTCTTAATAAATTTTCTTCCAGGAAATTAACCATATTTTTAAAATATAAACTATTTATTGAAAGCCTTCCAAATGTTTCCTAGATTCAGTGTAGGAACACATAAGGTGATGGACATGCACTGTTGTCCATAGAAAAATCTCTAAGACATTGACAGGTGTTTTATTCTCTTAAGCCCTTGGGGGGGGGGGGGGTGAGAGGGATGCAAAAAAAAAAGTAAAAGTATCTGGGATTTTCTAGAATAATCCTGATTTTAAATATTCTGAGTTTCAGTCAGTTTGTGAATCAGAAATGCAATCTCTTTTAGACATAGACTCTAGCTTAGAAAGTTTATAGTATACCTGAATTAAGTAATGTAGAAAGAAATACTGGTAAAATGCAATATAACAATACACAACTGAAATCAGTAGTATTAGAAAGACTCAGACTAAAGTCCCTCTAAGGCTGTGGTTGGCAAACTGCGGCTCCGCGAGCCACATGCGGCTCTTCGACCCCTTGAGTGTGGCTCTTCCACAAAATACCACAGCCTAGGTGAGTCTATTTTGAAGAAGTGGCGTTAGAAGATGTTTAAGTTTAAAAAATTTGGCTCTCAAAAGAAATTTCAGTCATTGTACTGTTGATATTTGGCTCTTTTGACTAATGAGTTTGCCGACCACTGTTCTAGGGTGATTTGTAAGTATTAACATTTGAATTTTAATAGGAATAAATCATTTAATCAACACTTTTATTTAACTCTCAAATATTCTAAATAATTAATACTTTAAATTAAATATATATTACAGATCTAGTGGACAGATCTAGTGAAAAAATGCATGTATAAAATATATTCCCTGCTTTGTGCATCACCCTGATCCCTTCCTAGCTAAACAGCCTATGATCCAACTAGTTGGTGATGGGGAGGAGGCTCTGAGTTACCCTAATCAGACTTTAATTAGTATGCTTAGTAATTTTTCCTTTCCCCTGTGTTCTTCCACCGTTAAAAAACAAACAGAAAACCCTCGGCGCTGATGATATCATGTTGGCAAAGGATCCTGCATCTGGCATCTGCACTCTTCTGTACGACAGTGCACCCAGTGGCAGGTTTGGCACCATGACCTACCTCTCCAAGGCAGCCGCCACCTACGTGCAGGAGTTCCTGCCCCACAGCATATGTGCCATGCAATGAGACCTTTGGGCTCTGGCTACTAGGAGCCTTTTGCCAGCTGGTTCCTGCCTCTGCTGATTGTGCATGGAACTGAACTGTGATGGCCTGATCACTCCCACCCTACCACAAGAAGAGTAAACTTTTCTGACTAACTGCTTTAGAAGAAGTGAACCCTTGTTCAACCAAGCTCTTCACTGTGGTTCTTAATTTTTTAATGGGTCACAAAAGTATGCATGTGTTTTTATTCTCTAGACCTGTTACACACTTAGTGTTCTAACTGCTGTTTAGGGAGCAAGTATTAATAATAATGTATTCTTCAAGTTTGGTTTTCCTATGTGTGGTTTCCTTGTGTGAATGAGTGGTGGGTTCTTTGAGACATTATTTCAAGTGAGTAAAGCCTAAATTGTTGCATTTTATGCTGCTATGAATTGCAAATATTTATTCTAAATGCCTTTTCTTGGAAAAAGAGCATAGCAGATTATAGTTTTCTTCTTTATTCTCATGTTGCCTCACACTGAATGATATGCTCCCTCCTGTGTAGAATTATTGTTTCTGCTTTTGCCTTTTCTGTATCCGCACACATGATTTCTAGTCTCCCTTTGGTGAAATGTCAAAAACTGAAAGTCTAGAGTGTATAGTTCAGGATTTGTGCATTAACACTTGAAGTCAGTTTTGTGAAGATTGCTAGGACTCAGATGTGTATTTGTAGGAGAAAATGCAGAATAACCCAGAGCAGTGGTCAGCAAACCATGGCTTGTGAACCACATGTGGCTCTTTGGTCCATTGAGTCTGGCTCTTCCACAAAATATCGCGTGCAGGTACGCACGTACAGGGCGATTGAAACTTTGTGGCCTATGCGCAGAAATCGGTTTTCGGCTCTCAAAAGAAATTTCAATCGTTGTACTGTTGATATTTGGCTCTGTTGACTAATGAGTTTGCCCACCACTGACCCAGAGAAATGAAGCCAGGAGCCCAATTCCAGAGAGGAAAGGGGACAGAAGAAAAGATGCCTAGGGTGTATTATGCCTAGGAAACGAAGAGGAAATCAGAGGTGGCTCCATGCCCTGAAGAGAACCTTTAGCACCTACTCCTGGCCTCTGAAGAGTAGGCTGGCACACAACACAGAGAGTAATTGAAGCTTCTGTCTTTGGCAACCAGGAATCAGCAGTCCAGTCTCTGGATGCTTTCCTGAGCACTCTTTCTTTGTTTTCATCTGTTTTCTAGCTCACTCACCTACTTACTTTCTACAGCATCCACCCCATCCCCAGTTTCAGGTCCTCCCATTTATTCTTAAAATCTCAAGCCTTCATTTATTAATTCTAGTGTTGGTGTATAGCTTGCTATCTGTGGGCATATATTCATTTCTTGCACACAACTGCATTTGTATGTTTAAGCATACACGGGAAATTTTCTAATATAAGTACCTTTATGTGGTTGTGTATCTGTAGCTATATTTGACAGACTAAGCAAGTATGTAAATATGAGTGTTGCTTGTGGCAGAGGGCAGTGACTGTGGCCTCAGACTGACATACAAAGGATAGTGGAAGAAATATTAAGTCCTCTTCTCCAGTTCCATGCTTAGGCAGCCTTGTTTGGAAAATACTTTTTCTCACTCTTAGTTCAGGCTGCTATAACAAAAACTACAGGCTGTATGGCTTAAACAACAAACATTTATTTTTCATAGTTCTAGAGGCTGAGAGGTCTAAGATCAAGGTCCCAGCAGACTCAGTGTTTGGTCAGGGCCTGCTTCCTGGTTTGCAGATTGCTGCCTTCTTGCGATGTTTTCACATGGTACAGAGACAGACCTCAGGTCTCTTTCTCTTTTTATAAAGACTATTAATCCTGTCATGGGGACTCCATGCTCATGGCTTCATTTAATCATCAATATCTCTGAGAAAGGTCCCTACCTCCAACTTCCATAACATTGGGGATAAAAGTTTCAACCTCTGAATTTGGGAGGGACATATTTTGTCTATGACACTTTCCTCTGATTTATGTATAAAAGCACTCCTAATTTCTCTGCTTACTCTCAAAGAATTTTCTACTTCAATACCCTCATTCCCCCTGATTTTTTTTCTCCAATAAAAGGACTCTGTAAATAAGTTTTTACAGAAATATTAACAATATTATGAGTACACATGAATAAGTGAGCATAATAGGTTGATAGAAAACAGAAACAAAGAGAGGATGGCCAAGCTTCTCAGTATCTCTTATAAAGCAAATGGAAACACACAGTAAGTAGCTTTCTGCTTACATGATTTTCTGGTCATGTACAAAGATACAACCGGTCCTGAAACATTGTCTTTTCACTTGCTGCAAGTGTGCCCCAACCACACAGAGTGCATCTGCTGTGGCACAGATGAAAACCACCACTCCCTCCCATACTAATTAGCCTGTGTTGACACTGATGGCTGCATTTCACTGGGTTACTAAGTTGTCCAGCACTATGCTGCATTCTCACTATGTTTCACTTTTAAAACAACTTTTTAGAAAACTTGATTTGTATTTTACTCATTTTAAGCATGTAATACTAAAAAAGATAGATTTCTAAAGCACTTCTGTTTTTAAAATAGAATAAAAAATAGAATTTCCAATTAAATCATGTGTAAAGCTTAACATGTGTTCTTGTGATTGGAGTTTATTTCATGGCTCTCTTTTACGTAATCTAATTATGTACTACAGTCTAAGCTCATTAGTTGGGTCAAAGTAGAATAATATTAATACATTAATCACACATTATACATTATATTATGTTATATTATAGTCCCAGTGCATGAAATTTATACACTTAGGGGAGTGGGGAGGTCCCTCAGCCCAGACCCTGCCCTCTCACAGTCCGGGAGCCCTCAGGGGATAGCCAACTGATGGGCTTAGGCCCGCTTCCCCATGGGACATCCTTAGAGATGCTGCGGAGGCAGGAGAAGCTCCTGCAACAACCTCTGTGCTCACCAGCCATGGCTGAGTGGTGTTCCCCCTGTAGGAGCTCACTGACCACCTGCGTTGAGTGTTTGCCCCCTGGTGGTCAGTACTCATTGTGTCATAGAGACTGGTCAATTTGCATATTAACCTTTTATTATATAGGATAATTTATGTAAAGAAAGGCAGTTTTACAATTCAAATACACATCCACTAAAACTAGGCTCACTAAATTTAATTGGGTTTATTGACATCTTTAGCGAACCTGTTCTAATAAATGAATAAGACTGATTTTCACTCAGCATTAACAATTGTGTGTAAATGGTACTTCTGTGCTACTGGAAGGGCTAAGGACAATGTTTTCTCGTAAGTATTATAAATATTCAGCAGATTCTTGTTTGTACTAATTAGCTTTTTGTGTAAAAGAAAAAAAAAGGGGGAGGGGTTTCGCCCAGTAAGGATGAACAATTGCTGTAGTCCCATTTGCTGCTTGGTTAGTTAGGTTTTACTATATTATGGGAATTTTATGCAGCTGGTGGGGCAAAAGTTGTTCTTATCCCCAGCTCACAAAACATTTACCATCCATTTTTGCACTTGTCAAATACCTAGTACCTTTACTAATGCAGTGGAGATACAGTGTTTTCCACATATAGTCTTCACTTTCTAGTAAACTTGGATAACCTTAGGTCTTGGTTTTCCCAGAACAGTCCCCATCTATGCCCGTTGTCCTGACATAGTTATTAATAGGACTCTCTGTCACTCTCAAAAGTGTCCCAGTTTGATGATATGGTCACCTTAAGCAGAACACTTAAGCAGAAGTCTTATTTATTTTAAGGTTAAGCCTAAAAACCAACAACCTATTCTCAAAGCAATACTCATTTAGTAAAGGCATGGGGATGAAAACAACAATGGGGGTACACTTTCCCAAAAATTAAGGAATATTTGGCATAATACCAGACATTGTTATATGGGCATTTGGCAAGGACTGAGGCACTTAACCTTTAAGCAAATTGTTCCAGATCAAACAACTAGTACATGGTAGAGCTGGGATTTGAGCCCAAGCAGTATGATTCTAGAGTTCAAATTTGTTGAGACATTCCTCAAAGAAAAGACATTAGAAAATGGTATGAAAACAAGGGCCAGACTTTAAGTACAGTTGACATATCAATAGGCAGATTGTGAAACACACAAAAGAAGATGGCCAAAGGGGTAGGTACCTTTATAATATATTTGCTTTCCCGTCTTCCTGCTTCTGCCAGCAAGTAAAGGCAGGAGAAATCAACAACAGTGGCTCAGCCCAACCTGACCTACTAGTTCAAAAACAACCATTAACAACAATGCCTGAGGAAAGTCAGTCAAGGAACTTGCTCAGTGTCACCACACATGGTAAACTTTGGAGCCATGATTCAAGCTAGTTCCTCTGAACTCCCGTACTCTGGCTGCAAACCCATTGCTTTGGAAAGGGTTTTCTTCCAACTTAAGGACTGTATGTTTATTAAGCATGTGGAAAACTGAGGTTAGGGATTTATAGCAAGGTTTGTGCTCTGTCTTAATAATAAACAAAGGTCCAGACTCCCTGTGAGATTTGCTGCAGGAATATGCTGCCAATTCCAAAGCCTCCCGAAACAGTTTATCTTTCACTACTGTTGAATCCTGTTGCCAATTGAGGATACGGTTTCCAGTTTAAAAGCGAAGTTCCTACGTTTAAGTGTTCAGTTACCTGTTTGTTTGCTAGATCTGAAAGAACACATAAAACAATCTTTTTTCATGTCATCTGATTGGAGTCCAGATTTTGGGGTGTCAGTTGGTCAACCTTGCCCTCTCCCTTCCACTGCCTATCCAGTAAGGTCGATTTTCTCTTTATAGCATCCACCTGTCTTGATCTCATCTTTCAATTCTTTATTGTTTAAAGTATTACATAAATCTCCCTTTTCCTCCATTGATCTCTCCCCAGCCACTCCCAGCACCCAGAACATATGTTCACCCCCCTATAATCTGTATCCACTGGTCATGCTTATATGCATGCATACAAGTCTTTTGGTTGATCTCTTACCCACTCCACTCCCTTTCCCCTGCCTTCCCTCTTAGGTTGGACAGTCTGTTCAATGCTTCTATAACTCTGGCTCTACTTTTGTTCAGTTTATGTTGATCATTATATTCCACAAATGAGTGAGATCATGTGATACTTATCTCTCTCTGACTGGCTTATTTTGCTTAGCAAAATGCTCTCCAGGTCTATCAATGCTATTACGAATGGTAAGAGTTACTTCTTTTTTATAGCAGCATAGTATTCCACTATGTAGATGTACCACAGTTTTTTAACCCATTCATCTGCTTATGGGCACATAAGCTGTTTCCAAATCTTAGCTATTGCAAATTGTGCTGCTATGAACATAGGCATGCATATATCTTTTCTGATTGGTGTTTCTGATTTCTTGGGATATATTCCTAGAAGTTAGAACTCCCATCAGTTAATTCTTAAAGCCCCAGAGGCTTGTTCCCCTCTGTCTATAAACAGATGCATTTCTCCCTTGTCCTAAAAAACATTCCTGGGCTCTGACATTTCCCCAGGCTGATATACTATTTTCTTTCACAATTTCTTCAAAGGAAACTACACTTGACAATGTTGGCCTCACTCTTGAAACCCCTGCAATCTGGTTTTCTCACTACCTCTCTCTTTTTTTCCCATAGATATCAGTGAGCTCCCAATGGCAAAGGATTCTTCGACTCTTTTGCAATACATGACATTGTTATTGCCTTTTCCTTATAACCCTCTTATCCCTTGATTTCTATGAAACTGCACTATACTAATTATCACCCAGCTATTCTTTTTTGTCTCATTTCTGGCATCTTTTCTCCTCCTAACCTCCATAAACAGGCATTCTCAAAAATTACATTATATTCCTAGCTCAAAGTTTCTCACCATGGTGTGGGGCAGGTTTTAAAAAGTGACATCTCATTGAGTTGTTTTTTTTTTAAGCCCACTCTAATGGTTGCTAAAAAGAATGAATTATACTAATAGGCCAGCAGGAGTGGAATAGAAACTAGTCAGATATTGCTGAAGGTCCAAATGAGAGATTAGTGTTCCAAAGCTGAGGTAGCAGCAATGTGGATGAAGGGAAGTGGATGTACAGTATTTAAGGCATGTCTTGGAGGTGGAAATGTAAATTGCTGATGGATTAGATTTGAGAGTGAAGGAAAGAGCTAATATAAATAACTCCCAGGTTTCTGGCTTAGGCAACTTGATAGCTGTTGGTCTTGTTACTGAGCTGTGAAAAATGAAGAAGGATTGGGAAAGACTTGGGTGGGGAAATCAGGAAATTTGGTTTGAAAGAGTTAAGTGAGGTGTAACTGACATTCCAGTGTAGTTCTCTTGACTCTATCAGATAGTTTCCTTGACAATCTCAGCCACTCATGACTTTAGCTATTTCTTTCTTATGTGGGGAAAAATGGGTTAAATACCTGCTAACTTGTTGATTTATGAAATGCAATACTTTTAACATTTTAAAAATCTAACTCAAGTTCATTCTGCTTTACCCTATGAGTTATTCCTCGTTGTTCTCATCTGCATTATATTAATACTACTAGACTCTTCACCAAGACTTTAAATTTAAGAGTTTTCACTGACTCTTTTCCATCTCTCTCTCACCAATATCCAACTAGTAAGGAGGTCCTATTGAACCTACCCTCCCCATTGTTTCTCCCTCTCCGCTCCCATTGTCTCTACCTTAGTTTAAATCATCATTACTTATTGTCTGGACCATTGTGACACTCTTCCTGCCTCTCATCTTTCAATAGCTTATCTATCCTACAGACCACTGCTATAGAAATATTTTTTTTAAGATTTCTGTTTAACTGTCTTCCCATTTTTCACAGGATGAAAAGTCTGTTTTGCCTGGCATTCAAAACCCTTCATTATCTATCCCCTTCATTTAAACCAGACTAGATAAATTCTCCTTTGTATTTTCACTTATGTTGTGATTCTAGTCTGCATGCCTTCCTCTGGTTCCCATCTTCACCAAGTAAAATCCTGTCCATCTACTAAGACCCTGTCTAATGACACTGAATAAGAATCCCAGTTGCCATTTAAGTACCATTTATCAAATACTTGATGCTTATTTATTAAGTAATCTAAGCATCCTACATTCATTATCTGACTCTGCATTGCATATGTGTGTTGTTTTGTGTGTGTGTGTGTGCGTGTGTATTTGTCTCATCACTATAAGCATGCAAATTCCCTGAGAAGAGATCAAATTGAATTCTTAGATGAACCATACTTAGTTGATGTCAGATAAATGCTTGATAAATGACTGAATTTTTGCAGAGCTTTGAACTAGTTGCTATGGGAATGTATAGAAGAAGCAGGAGAGCTTACATTCTGGTTAAAGAACACATTACAGGGAAAAAAACGTTTGCAAAATAGAAGTATTGTGGGGATACTAAATGGATGGTTGAACAAATTTAGATTTAACACAGTCATCCTGGATGAATCAAGTTTATACAGTAAAGGATTCAGTGTCAGGCAAACCTGGTTTTGAATCCCTGCTTTTCCAAGTGTGTGACTTTGAACTGTTATTGTTTTATCTGTAAACTGTATCTGTAAAATGGGGTATTACAACCTCCTTCACAGGACTGTTGTAAGGACAAAATGAGAAAATATATACATGTGCATATTGCATTGCTCAATAAATGTTTAGAGAGTAAAAAACAAGGTAGATTTTTGAAGAAGGTATAAATATTGGGTTGTCTGAGGGGTTAGGCTTCAGCATTGACGAGCTTGTATTAGCGCATAGGATCCCCTAGGAACTTGGAAATACTGGTAATAATTCTAAAACTGCTTAAGAGCATTATTTATTGTGGACCCTCACATGAACCCTAACAATTTCCTTAACTTTTCAATAGCTGCAAAAGCAAAGGGAAGGAGGAGAGATAACTGCTAGCTCCAAACATTACAGAAAGTATCTGCTTACACCTTTAGTGCACATGAGTTTTCAAGAAGTACCTAATTTGACATCATTGTTTAACTGGAGTCTACCAAGCAACTTCCAGAGTACCAGCCAGCTTCTTGGGAAAGTGCTATCAGCTTTGCCAGAGTCAATTTGAGAGTGTTAACTCTTTTAAAAAATTGATCACTTTTATCCATACATATGAGATTATTAATTCTTAATAAACATGGATAGGTGATGAAAAGCAATGAGGCACAGAATTTACTGTGTAAACTTTGCTGGGCGCTACTCTTGGTGGCCACATTGTGTCTGTCTTTAATTACATGGATTTTTCAGATTGAAACAATTCATAGAGTTGAGGTTTTCTTTCTTCCTTCCTTCCTTCCTTCCTTCCTTCCTTCCTTCCTTCCTTCCTTCCTTCCTTCCTTCCTTCCTTCTCTCTCTCTCTCTCTCTCTCTCTCTCTCTCTCTCTCTCTCTCTCTCTCTCTCTCTCTCTCTCTCTCTCATTCGCAGATATTTTAGTAATTAATCCAGTTCTTCTGCTCCTCAAACCCCTCTAAACTACATCTCCCGGCATGCTCTGAAGCTCATCTGACCTCATCTCAAATGGCCCTATAGGGCCACAAGGATGGTTAGTTTATTCCGCGCTTATTTGTGCCCTAAAGCATCGATCCTAATTGGCAGTTATCTGGGCTTTTATATCTGCCTCCTGCCAACCTTTTTGAACCGTGGTCACTAAGTGAAGAGGTTCTGGCCTAGGAAGGTCCATGCATTCCTTCAATTGGATAGAGAGCCAAGACAGTGACTCTGGAGATCTTGAGAATAAGAGTGAATGTTGACTAGGGAGTACCGCTGCTGCGGAACAGAGGAGCTGGAACTGGAGCCTGGGCTGAGTCTGAAAAAAGCCGGATCCAGATGGTGGCCCCGGAACAGCTGGAAGTGGAAGATGGAGGAGCCCCGGGAATCTGCGGGCAGTGGGCATTCCCTGCCCCCGGTTTACATCTATAGTCCCGAGTATGTCAGCATGTGCGGTTCCCTGGCCAAAGTCCCCAAACGGGTAAGAGAACTTGGGATGAAAGTTCGTGGGTTTTTGCGGTGGTGGTGGAGGGGGTGGGAGGGGTTGGAGGGTTAGACAGGAGGGCATTAGGAAGCGAAGAAAATACCGGGCTGGGGGAAATCTTAAGCAATAATTTGGACAGTTGTACGAGGCGATGGAGAAAGTGTTCCCTTACAGTTTCCGAGGATGCCCAATAGACACAGGAGGGGCGGGAGGGCCGGAGGAGGGTCTGGCACTGATGGGTAGCGTCTCTACTGCAAGGGGTCCCTGAAGTCGTGGAGAAGCTGCAGGAAAAAATTGATCCATCACCTTAATAAGGCCCAGTATCTTTCTCCTTAGCGATTTAGATACTTTGTATCTATATTGTCTGCAGTGCTTTGTAACTGTTAAGTAAAGCGAAAGGAGTGGGGCTAAAAGTTCGTTCATTTGTTCAGGATAATGAAGTCCACGCAATTTCTCTGAATTAAACACTAAGGGGCTATTTTCTGCTTTTCTTGTTTTTGCTGTTGTCTTTAGGCCAGTATGGTACATTTTTTGATTGACACATATGCACTACATAAGCAAATGAGATAAGTTATCTTTCATGAACAAAGCCCTGAACCCACGTAGTCCTGGCCTTAAAATCCTGCTTCACAGTGCGACTAATTAGGGAGAGAGTGGTGCTTCTTTTAAAGCTTTTTGTGATTCACAGAGTATGCAATTTGCCTGTAAAAAGCTCATTAAGAATTAAGAAAACTTGGAAGAAGTGCATAAAGCACTTATGATCCATTTCAAACAGGACTTGACTACTGAAAGGGAAAGTATCCTGGTGAACACACAATATACACACAATGTGTTGTAGAATGTTATATCTGAAACCTATATAATTTTTTAAAGTTTGCTCTGAAAGAAGTAGAACTTTTTTATTATTATTTTTATTGATTTCAGAGAGGAAGGAAGATGGAGAGAGTGAGAAATATAAATGGTGAGAGAGAATCATTGATTGGCTGCCTCCTGTAACCCAGGCATGTGCCCTGACTGGGAATCAAACTGGGACCTCCTGATTCATAGCTTGATACTCAACCATTGATCAACACCAGTCAGGCAAAACCTATATAATTTTATTAACCAATGTCACCCCAGTAAATTCAATAAAAATAAATTTAAAATAAAGTCTCATAGTGATAGGTGCTTTGTGGAGATTTTGAGGTGAATACATTTGGGTACTAAAACATAGGTGTTCAGCTAGGAGGTATTCTGTTTTGTTTTGTTTTGTTTTGTTTTGTTTTTGTTTTACCACTGAGCAAGATCTGAGGGTGCGGGTTCAACTTAAGACTTTTAGGTGTACCATAACCACCACCAAACTTTAATGAGTGAGCCTGGAGACAAATCAAAACCAAAGAAAACTCTTGTGACCAGACACAGAACTAAGTGCATCTTTTTTTTTTTTTTTAAGTGAATTCATTGTTTGTCATTTTAAGAGTAAATAAGAATAAAACCCTGACACTTATAAGATTATGTATGACATTTTTCTGGCCAAATAAATGTCTGTTTACACCTGTGTGATATGCCTCATTTCTCTCCCAAACGTACTGTAACAGGCTTTCAGACTTTATCCTTTTTATTAACTAAATCATTTATTGAGCACCTTATTTGGGAATGTTTTTCAGCCAGTTTTTTAAACCCATATCTTGTATAATAAAAGGCTAACATGCAAATTGTCCCCTTGGGAGTTTTCACTGTTCACTATGATGTTTGCTGACCACCAGAGGGCAGTGCGGAACAAAGGAAGGCCCCAGCTGACAGCCAGGAAGCCCTGATTGGCCCTGATTGCCAGACAGATCTAGGGACCCTACCTATGCATAAATTTCATGCACCAGGCTTCTAGTATTTGATAAACATAAAAACGAATGCCTTCCATTAAAGTCATTTAACATATCATAAACTGACTGTAAGACAAACAAAGTAAAACTGTCACATTTCCTTGCTGGGTACATGGGGAGGCTTTCAGTAAGTATTTGTTAAGTAAGAGGAAGGTTGCTAGAAGAGGGAGCTATAAGGGCTGGGAAACATGGACCAAGGAACTAAAAATTTTATTTTAATGGGCAGATTTGTCACCTCCAAGGATATAGACATGTTTCCTTGAAGAAGGAGCAAGAATCAAATTCTCCAATCTTGGCTATATATATTTAAATTTTGAGGTGGAACCTCCTTTCTTCTGGCCTGTTTAGTGCTTGTCCTAACATGAGAAGTCATAGTAATTCAGGAGAAACTTGTGGCCCTATTCCCAATCAATAAACATTAAAACACACACACACACACACACACACAGTACTGCCTCCCTGTGGCCTAGGTCAGTGGTCGGCAAACTATGGCTCTTTGGCCCCTTGAGTGTGGCTCTTCCACAAGATACCACTGCCTGGGCTAGTCTATTTTGAAGAAATGGCATTAGAGGAAGTTTAAGTTTAAAAATTTTGGCTCTCAAAAGAAATTTCAATTGTTGTACTGTTGATATTTGGCTCTGTTGACTAATAAGTTTGCCAACCACTGGCCTAGGTTATTGCTTTTCCAATTTAAATATGAATATGAATTACCTTGTTAAAATACAAATCTGATTTAGTGGGTTGGAGGTTAGGCTTAATTCTGTTTTTCTAACAAGCCCCCAGGTGATGCTGCTGTCAGTCACAGACCACCCTTTGAGTTGCCTGGGCAATAGCAGCAGTGGTGGATCAGGAATAAGAAATGAGGAATAAATAGGCAGCTAGAGGTTAGAGGTGGTAAGTCCTGTCATTAGCTTAGCATTCTGTATTCTCTCAGTCACTCCTGTTTGTCACTTCTTATGAGGAATTGGTTGGGAGCTTCTGGGTGAAGCCCAGCTCCAACTGTTTGCCCTTCCTCTCCTTCTCAGAGGCAGGTGTGAGGGACCAAACACAGGAACTTTTTTATGTTTTGGGTTGCCTTTTTTTAATCCTTTAATATTAACAATGATAATTATCCACAAAGCATTTTATGTATGTTATCATGTAAGTTCCATAAGATCTCCCCACTTTACAGATGAGGAAACTGAACTACAGAAGAATTCTTATCTGAGGTTATAGAGCTGTTAAGTATAGTTAGTAAAGGAATATGCCAATGAAAGTAAAAATATAGTTGAAGGATTACATGGCCCAATTAGGAGCTGATTCAGATGAAAATATCTCAGCCTGCTGGTTTGTCATGAAATTTGTAACTCTCAGAGTAATGTCCAATATCTGATTATTTAACTTAAATATCTATATATATTTTACTACCTATAAACTCAAGGGGAGCCATTACATAGTTGTGAGGAAATAAAGACTATATACTATAGTAGTGGAGTGGAAGAACAGAACACGTTTATTACTTCAGCCCCTGGAACAAAAAGCTAGTTATATTTTCTCATATCACTAGTTCCTGCTTCTAGCTTTTAGTATACTCTGGATCTGACTTAACTCACCTCTCCTTGCTTTCTGTTATTTTTAGAATAGTTAAACCCAAAGTGGCCTTCATAGGGGAGATGGCCACCTTCTATACCAAGGACTATCTGCAGCATCTCCAGAAGGTCAGCCCAGAAGATGATCATCCAGACTCCATGGGTAATGTTATTACTAAGCAATGATGGGAGATATACAACCTCCATTTATATATCAGTACTACTTAATCTTTTATAACTTGCATGGTGGTCTTTAATACGTTTTAATAAGAACTAATGTGTTAACCAAACTTAATCTCTCAGTTTAGCCACTTACATCTCACTTACCAGAGTTGAGCAGTACTAAATGATGGATCAAATGGAGGAAAATCTTCTAGTTGCTTGGGTATTGCTGTATCTATGATGATTTAATTGTCCTGTTACCTTATCTTTTAACTTGAGTAGAGATTTATGTTGTGGCTAACTTTTCTACTTTATCTTTCATTAAACAGCTGCATTAAAATAAATTAGAAATGGCCAATAGCATAATCTAGAGAAACAACAGTGTTTAGTAGAAGAACTGGACTGGGGGCAGGGCAAGAGACCTGTGTCCCAGGTCTGGCTCTTTGTCATAGAGGAGGCATATCTCTTATTAGACCTCAATATCTCCATCTATGGGATGTGACAAGTTAATCTTAAAGGTTTAGCTTAGAGAGCTTAACACTTTAAATAGTTCTTTTCCTGATATTGGAAATGGTTCTCTCTGTTTGGAACTGATTTTTCGCATAGTAGCTTTTTGGTAGGGTACGTTGTTGTTGTACTTAACCTATTCCTTCTAAGAGGTTTCTGGACCCAAATTCAATGTGTGGAGGGAGGGGTTTACCTCCATACGACCAAGCAATGCTCATGACATTAGCTGGGTGTCCTGCTATTCAACTCAATTCTGACACTATCTACCTAGAGATGGTATCAAATTCCCCAGGTAAAGGGCTTAGTCCCTCAAGACTGCTGCTCATTTCAGATGCCAATCACAAGCCCAGGCTGTTACCTGTACTTCTGACCACTCCTTGGGTTTGATTAATTTGGTAGAGCAGCTCACAGAACTCAGGTAATCCACTTACTCTCTAGATCACCTGTTAATTATACAGGTGACCCTTGAACAATGCAGGTTTGAACTGTGCAGGTCCACTTATACGTGGATGTTTTCAATAAATACTATAAAATGTTTTTTCTCTTTCTTATGATTTTCTTAACAACCTTTTCTCTAGCTTACTTTATTGTGAGAATAGAGTATACATATATATAGCATATAAAATATGTTAATTGATTATGTTATTGGTAAGGCTTCAGGTCAGCAGTAGTCTATTATTAAGTTTTTAGGGAATCAAAAGTTAATACATGAATTTTCAATTGTGCAGGATGGTTGGCTCCTCAACTCCTTTGTTGTTCAAGTGTCAACTGTAAATGGCTGTAACTCAGAAGTCAGATGGAAGAGATGCATAAGGCAAGAGATAGGGGGAAGAATACAGTTTCCATGCCCTCTCCAAGCAGGACACCCTACCCAAATCTCCACATGTTCATCAACCCAGAAGCTTTCTGAACCCTCTCCTATTGGGTTTTATGGAGACTTTATTACATAGGCATGATTGGTTAAGTCATTGGCCAGTTGGTGATTGAACTAAATCTCTAGCTCCTCTCCCCTCTCTGGAGGTCGAAGAGTGAGACTGAAATTTCCAACTCTCTAATCACATGGTTGTCTCCACTGGCAATCAGACTCATCCTTAGGTGTGCAATACTGGTTGCCTCATTAGCATAACACAGACACATTTATGGATTGCTCTCATCACTGGAGAAATTCTAAGAGTTTGAAGAGCTCTGTACCAGAAATGGGGACAAAGGTCAAATATTAGTATACTAGTATTTCTTATTATAAATCACAACATCACACCTCCTCTTTCTCCAATTCATCTTTTAACAAGCTCTTTTGATATCTCCCCAAAGGTTATGACTGTCCAGCTACAGAAGGGATATTTGACAACGCAGTATCTGTGGGAGGGGCTACAATCACAGCTGCCCAATGCCTGATTGATGGAATGTACAAAGTAGCAATTAACTGGTCTGGAGGGCGGCATCATACAAAGAAGTAAGAAAATGACCTTTCTGC